GGAGGGGAGGTTGGGTGCGTGCGGCGGGGCACGTCAGCTGCGCGGGGAGGGGGGCGCGCAGGGGACGGAGCGGCCTTTAATTTATTTTCGCTTTTATTTCGGTGCGCGGCCCCTGCGCGGGGGCGGGCGGCGCCTGGGCCGGCACGCCGGGACAGGCCCGGGCACGTCCGCTGCCCCGCGGCCTTCCCCCTGCCTGCGCCCCCCTTCTTGCAAAAGCAAAGGGGACGGGAAAGACAAAGCAGAAGTCCTGTTTTTGTGCTGTTGTTGTTGTTATTAAAAGGACAAAGAGCAATTTCTTTGGTGGAAAATACATTTTTTTCCCCCCCGTAGGCTGTTATGTCCTGCCCTTGTTCTGAGGTGCTCCTGCTATTGATACTTGGTTGTACGGTGCTCCCCGACACAGATAGGAAAGCACAACAGCCTCCTCAGGTTTTTAATAAAGAATTGTTAAAATATACCCTGTTTCATGAAAGTACATAAAGATGCATGTAAAACAGAGGGGAAAAAATGCACCGTTTTTGCTTGTCTGCATGGGTAAGAGCTATATAACACTCTTTGTGCTCAAGAGCTTTTTCTGCCTTTAACTCTCAGCCTCAAGGGACTCTCTGTACCCAAAGGAGATCTGCAAAATATCTTGAAAAGACAATCCTGGAAGCATCAGTTCGCAAATCTGCTGCATACTGAAAATCTTGGCTTCGGTTTTGGGTCACAGCGTCAGCCTCATCTATTTTTTCCCCACTAACCTCTGAAAATCCCATCAGGCATCATGAACAACCCCTCTGTCCTGCAAGGGGGGAGGAGCTGATAACGTTATCCCTCCTCTTGCTTCTAGTATTACCCTCTGCTGCGAGGCCATCCCTTCTGGAATGCTTTTGCAGCATAGGAGGGGTATATTCAGAGAAGCCATTTCTGTTTTGTTCGTGGATTGGAATTTGCTGCCTGTGTTTCAAACCTGAAAATAGTGTTTGCCTACTTACCCCTGACACACAAGTAGATCCATCAGGCTACTCAAAAAATGCCACCTCTCTTGTACAGAATTGGCCTTATTCTTAGAACATTAGAAACACAACAAAAATATCTAGAAATACTTCAATAAAAAGGAGTATAATACTTACCACCTTTGGCTGGACTCATGCTTTGCCCTGACCAGTTTCTTCCCTCTCCTATTTAGTATCAGCCAGAATCAAATGCTTGGAAGGAGATTTAGGAACTCCGAAGTTAGGTAAGTGGTCTTATGTCATGGCACCCCAAAGCATGAGGTTTAACAAGCTCTCGCCTTGCCGGAGCTGTCATTGCTATGGATAGGAGAACTCTTCAGATCAAATTTGAATCGTCTCCCTTATGTTTTACTTTAAGAACCTATTACAGCAGAGCGCACCTCACCGCAAATTCTGCATGAGGGAAAAAAATAGGTTTTTTTTTCTTTGTTTTTAATCTTGGTAGTCTGCAAAAGTGTTTCTGCCCAGATCTCCTGCAATCCAGAAGTTTTTAAAACCCCAATTTCTTTAAAATATCTATGGCATGGCTAAAGAAGTCTTGTCTATGGACAAGACAGATGTTTGGGTGCATGCATCCGATACGCGTATGAGGAATAAACTGCCCCAGTGCTCTGAATGTGCAGCTCTTGAGCAGTTCAGGTGCAACTTGGAGCCTCCGTCTGATGCCAGGTGGCAGGACCTCTTCCCTGGCCGCAGGAGCTGCTGATGCAGAGAACTTTCTTCTTTCCCCAGCCTGGCCAAGCCCACTCTCATCTCAGCGATATGGAGGGATAGTGAAGGAGCTGCAGTCATTTCCTGGTCATGAAACGTTCTGAATGCTCCTTGCTACTCCTCGGGGGCATGCGAGCTCTTAAGGATAGCAAAGACATTGGCATACAGCTCACGGGATCAGGCAAGGTCCACTCTCCTTCTCTCCTTGGTAGGACTTCACTGAAAACATTGGAGAAACCGGCTTTACTTTACCCAGCCTGTCAGACTGAACCTTAGCTTTCTGCCACTATGCCAAAAGCGTTTGGTGGATTTCCTGCCTTGCTCTGAATTCAGTCTCTGGCACCTGGACATTTTGGGGAATATGCAGAGCTTCTTCTTGTCTCTATCCGGTCCCCAGCTGTCTTCTCCTGCCTGGGCAGCAGCGGACACAAGGGAAGCAGCCCGGCCTAGCCAGTAGTGCGAGATGCTCACTGATCCCGTGATGGCAGGGCCCTGACGAGGGTAAATGTAAACATTAAACGACTGCCTTATTCAGCCCATCTGATACATTAAATGAAGCAGGGGCCCTAGGGAGAGAAAGTAAAGAAAAGAGTATGTGATCATGTAATTAAAGACTGTATCATAATGAATATGCACAGAAGGGTTGAATTAAGGTTGTACTGGCAACCCAGCTTCTGGTATTTCCTAACTTTTAAGCAATGCACTGCAACCTTTACAACATTTCTTTCATGTTGTTTTGGCAGGAGCTCTTTCTCACTATTGGTTTGGAGAGAGCCTAGCACTTTGTGAGTTCTGTCATAATGGAAATAAGTAATAGAAATAGAACTACTTTTATCTGTGCCATGCACACATCTACACACCCCATAACTCTTGCAACATGCCCTTTTCCCAGCTTTTTTTTTCTAAAGAAAGCTACTGAATGGTAAGTAGGAAGATCCAGGAGTTCAAAGGACAGGAATTTCATTTATTATGGTCCTAGGTCTGAATTAACACATATTTGTTTATGAAAATAAATGCACAGCAGGGACTTTTTTTTTTTTTCTATTTGGGGAATCATTCCTGACAGAACAAGGGAATACAAGAAAGTGTGAAAGTGTAACAGGCTTTTTTCCTTTTCATGTGGTATCTTGCTAAAGTCTTTTAGCATAGAAGAGATCTAGGCCTGTTTGCTACCTATTCCACTGTCAGTTCTAGCTATGATTTTGCAGCATTGGCCTAATAAACAGGTAACAGTTGAAAAATAATTGACATTTGTTTCTGAAAAGCTGTATGTGTGCCTTAGATTGACATAAGCTTTCTCTCACCTGTTAGCTGAAAAGTGCTGTGTGTGATACACAAGATACATCAACACTCCCCTCTCTTTATAGAATTTATTTTAATGTAAGCTGATATTAAAATGCCACATTAGTGCTGTCATTTATCCAGTGTTTGAAAGCCTGTGGCAAGAGACTAGTTTTTCTTTCTGTTTTCTGCAGAGAAAAGCTTACCCTGGGATGCTTAAAACATTTATTAATGTTTTATTTCTCTATAGCCTTTGCTCTGAATACCAAGTTACATCTGTAGAGACGCTGAGTTGCAAGGCCAGGAGGCAGACATGGTCTGGAGAGGTTGTAACCAGCCCTGCGCGTCCACGCCGCGGTGTGCAGGACACCTGTAGGCTACAGCCGGATTGCGGGTTCCCCCGCGCTGGGTGAACATCTCACACAACCA